TTTTTAAAGGAATCAAGACGTAACAAAAAAGGTTATACGTAATTTTACTTTGTCTATCAAATGGCTATCTCGGTTTTTTGAAAATTTTGGATTTTGGCCTAAATTTTTTCAAAAAACTGAATTTTTTGGGAAAATCATTATAAAATCCAAAATTTTGAGTCTATCGAAAAAACCGGAATAAATGTCAGAGAAGTGGTCTATGTGCACCTACATACCAAATTTTAGAAGAATCGGTTCAAAAATGTGGGAGTTATTCAAAATTTTATGACGTCACGACACACAAAATTTTTGAAAAATGACTTTTTTGGAAGTTCTAGACCTCGTACGGAAACAAAAATAGCACCATTCGATTCGCCGTGAAAAACTGCATCAGATAGACACCTTTTTAGGCCTTAACAACCAACTTCAAAATTTGACCTCACTTGACCTGACCTTGACCTGACCTCGACCTGAAATTCATCCAGAGGTGGTCCATATCACTTATTGAGTGTGCCTATTGAATTCTATGAGTAAAATGACCCATAAAACATGTGTCGCACATGCCCTTTTCTATATTTTGTTTTTTGGTGACCTGACCTGACCTGACCTTGACCTTGACCTCTGAATGATATTGTATGCAACGAATATTGTCTTGGTAGCCTAAGAACACGTTTTGGGCGATCAGTCTCAGTCCATGACTCCATTCTTCGGCAACTACGGTGCAAGGCCGATACTGTAGAAACTTGCAATTTGTACCCTTGACCTGACCTTGACCTTGACCTCAAACTTTAAATTAAGTACATGTTTTTAGTAGTTCGTGATGAGAGCTTTCGATTGGCGTTTGAATTTTCCAAATCGGACCATTAGTTTGGGAGATAACAGGGGGGGTAAAATTTACCCCCCCCAGCCCCGCGCGTTCGGCTGGAGACCCCAGCCCCGCGCGGGTTAAACTGTAAGCCCGTATTGGTATTGTTTCTTTTATTTGGCTGTCGAACATTATTTATGGTTTGAAATATGATTTTTTGTAAAATAATTGATATGAAAAAGCCGTCTTATAAGTTATGACCCCATTTCACCACACGCAAGTGGCAGAAATGACAATGATCAGCTGACGCATTTTTCTTGGCCGAAGTCAGAGCGCGCGGCCCGACGCACCACGCGTATTTGGAAATTCCGACCTCGACGAGCATCAGAAGCCACCTAACAGGCGTGTTCGAAACCGCAGGAGATGATGATGAACGGGTTTATCGAAACTTGATTGGATGAGCATATCGGTAATAGCGATTTCAGTGTGTGCATTTATTGTTCATAGTGGTGTGAAATGTGGTTGGGGTACGACCGACAACCCGTCGGGGCGAATTTCGCACTGGGGTACTCAAAATTTGAAGAATTTAAGACGTTTCCATGAGTTTTGAAGGTATGGATAAGTTCTAAAAATCCGGTTCTCCTTAGCTGGGCCATTAACTCCATACGGTCCAAGAAAGCTGGCACACTACCTTTAAGCCTTGTGTCGTATGAGTCATCGAAAATCATCGATAGAGTGTTGGTTGCCTAATACCCAGTGGTTTCCGCATGCGATAGGATGAGCGATAAACGATAAACGATAATTATCGCTGTTATAAGTAAACCGGCTATCGTTATCGTTTATCGCTAAATTTTCAAAATTATTGCTCATCCACTTATCGCAAGTTACAAAAATTATGAACGATAAACGATAAAATGTAAAACGGGATGATGGAAAATGGAAGACGATCGACAGTGTATGCCGCGCGACAGTATGTGTGTGCAACCTGTTGCCAGCTGCTAAGTGTATAGATCTGCAAATAAACTTTAAGTACACTTATTCAAGCTGTATTTCTTATCACTTCTGCTATCGCTGTTAAAAAAAACATTATCGTTATCGTTGTATCGTTTATCGTTTCGTTATCGCTGTTAAAACATATATCGTTATCGTTTTATCGTTTCGTTATCGCTGTTAAAAGAATACTTATCGTTATCGTTGTATCGTTTTATCGCTATCGCTGTTAATTTTTTGATTTTTTTTTATCGTTTATCGTTTATCGTTATCGCGAACCTTTTTTTATCGTTTTATCGTTATCGCAGGTCCGAAAATTAGTTATCGCGGAAAGCACTGCTAATACCTACTTATGATAGTTACTTAAAGAGGTCACTGATGCCAGGTCAGGTCACATCTAGGTCAGGTCACCAAGGGCCACAATATGAATCCAACGTTGGATCAATCGTAAGGTCAAATGTCAAAATTGATATTTTTGCATAAAAGGGTATCTACTATCTATTCGATGCAGCTCATCACTGGGAATCCAATGGTTTCCTTCGTTTTACTCTTTGTGGTCTATAACGGCTAAAAACTGAGATCGGAAATTTTACGTAACAAATTTTGAGCATTTTTTTCGTCATATCTTTGCCAAAATCGGGCAATCGAGCTCAAATTTGGCATGTCAATAGCAAACCAATATTTATATAGGCCTAACATATAGGTACTGTTTTTCAAAATTTCAAAAATGTTAGGTATTTTTGGGGTATTATATGAAAAAAATTGTTAAGCTTTGGGGGTCAAAATCCAAAAGTGTCAAAACCCCGAGATAGCAGTTTTATAGCCCTGTTTATTCTACCTACACCTTTTTAATTTTGAGCATTTTCGCTATCTTCAAAACTTTAGGCGTGACAACTGACAGCTCTTCCCGCAAAACCTTTTAGCATAGCACAGCACAGCATAGCATAGCATAGCACAGCGTGTCTGTTACCTATATGTTAACGGTATACCAGCATCCCACACATGTTAATATGGGATGGCACGTTCAATGTGGGCTGACGCGATGCCCGGGCTCCCGGGGGAGGACGGAGGGGGGAGGGGGCCTCCCCTCCACCTCCGGCCGTCTGCCGTGTCAGAGTTGGTGACGTCGGTCGGGGCTCTTTTAGTGACGGCAGAGTCCGGCCCAGACGACACATCACACAGGTGGGCCGGCCAGTCAAAGCCGATTTGCGCCCCCGTCAAAGCGCACCGCCTACTACACGATTAACGGCCAGAAGGCTTATCTACATAGTATATCACGGACTTCAAAATTACTCAACTTCGCATGACCTACGTTCGTGACAAGTGAATGAATCTCAGCAGATGGTACCAGAATGATCGCTCTACATATGATAGCGTAATGTTGTAATATTACCACATGCCGAGATATCCCTTTAACATTAGCACGTGCATTTGGGAAATGGCTTCGGCCCGCCTCGGCTAATGTTGAAGGTATTTGGGAAACGATTCGGCCCTAGGGCTTTTTGATTTTCCCAGACAAAGTTTTACTGAATATTCTGAGCGGAAGAACTAATTTCAAAGAAGATATTTACGGATTGTGTGTTCACTAACAGCAACAGCAAAAGCAAGTTACTGCGTGTTTACATACTTTTGCTGTCAGCGTAATTCAACTAAACAAGGTTACCGTTCCAATGCCAATGTATTTATTGCTGCAGAACATGGTCGGAATAATCATTATTTCTACATAATGCACGCAAAAAACGAACAATTTAAATGCGTGAAACATCTTAACGTGCCACAATGAAACATTTGATATTGTTTCAGCTGGGATCCAAGACGCGTTTGATTCAGCGTTTCACCCAATTTTTAGTTTTTCTCGCGGTTTCCTCACTCCTGCTGGACTCCATATCTTTATTCTAGCTTCTGGCGTTTCACCATCTTCATCCTCAGCTTTTTCAAACCCTAAATAAGGGGGAGTAGGAATTTCACTTTCATACTCAACGCAGCCTAATAATGAAAAACACAAACAAATAATCACGGTGACTATAAATATGAACATAGTATTAATATAATATTAACACAATATTAAGATTAAAATGTAAAATATCAAATGAATATGATATTAACTGTTGCGCCGGTACGGCATGTGGTAAATCTCTTCCCAACCTTGGGCTGTGAAAATGCAGTTTTATTCACCTCGGTTTTTGCTACGGACCTCGTGCCTACCGGCACTCGGTCCTCCGCACAAAAACCTCGGTGAATAAAACGCATTTTCCCAGCCCCGGTCGGGAATATATAAAGCTGGTTCGTGAGAAAGCACAGCCTTTCATAACACGAACAGCGTTCGCTGAGCCTGACGAGGGGCAGGAATAACTGGTGTTGAGCGGTGGCTTATGCTGAGCATACCTAAACAATATTCCTCGAACATAGGTATTAGTTACCTACATGGTTTGCTAATAATGCCACCACTTTGCTACTAAATATAAGTCAATTGCTACATTTTATTTTAACTCAATGGGGAAAAGTGAAAACTGCTATCTTAGCGCCGGGAACGACCTCAAGCTATCTCAAGCACACGGAATCGTGATTTCTTGAACTCATTGCAAGGTCCGATGCTTCACTTTTGCATTGTTGACCTATCGTGACGTCATTTATGACGTCACTTGGGTCATAAACGTTTTTCGTCAATGACTCCCGATCAACTTGAGCTAGCGAGTCGGGAAAGTCACCAACAGACCCAGGAAGACCTGCCGAATCGAATGATATGTGACATAACCTCCTTCGACCAGCTTCGTGACCTGGGGTGCGCTGACCTGAACTTGAACAGAGGTCAACACCTTAAGTTAACCTCACCCAAACAAAAAGTATACCATTCGACGCGCCTCAGCCAGTCGAACACAAGGATGCCCAAATCGCGGCTCTGCGACCGTTTTTTGTGAAATTTATTTATGAAAAACTGAACCCGTACCTTGGGTCACTTGACCTGGACTCAGAGGTCACCGGTAACCAGGGACCTTAAACTCGGGTACCAGTCGCTGCGTCTCGTAACGGGGCACACGCTCATTTTTCCGGGATGCTCTAGCTCCATCAGGAGCGAAACGGCGAGGGGGGTCGTACAACATCGGCCGGCGAGTATGTAGAAAACCAATAGGTCCGGCGAGGGTAACTGCATGCTAGCCAATACAAACTGCAATTGCATTACAAGCCCGATAAAACATGATTACCTACCGTACAATGCACCTTTCAGGACTCGAGCGTTGGCATCACACTATTCTCATGACCTTGGCTGTTAGTGTTAGCCTTTGTCGTGTAATTGCACGGTGCGTTAGCCCCGTCTCCAGTGCAGCTCGCATGGCCGGCCTTCTCTCGGCTTCATCTGATACGCGGGACGTTATCCGCTCTCGGGGACCGGATTGCTGCCACTCACAGACCGGGGAGCCCTGCTGAGCTATATAAACTGCCGGCGTGCGCAGCGAGGCACAGTTGCCTTCGTGACCAAGGATCAGCACCTCAACCTCAACATGAAGCTGGTGAGCACACTGTGCAATGAGCAGCATAACTATAGCAATTTTATCATCTAGAATAAAAATTCAGCGAGTGAATGGTGAAATACTGAAGTGATGGATTAGCTATTGAAGAACCTATTTTCCAATATGTTGTCAAATGCTTTAAATTAATTTAAAACTTCTCTTTCTCATTAACTCAAACATTTGCTTCCATTTGCCTGCCCAGTTCCGTCTTCTGAAAGTACGAAATCTTTCAAAAGTATGATTTTTTTAGCCGCAAGAGACAATTCCTCACATTATTTAACGGTCAGTACATATCTTTTTCTTTTTTCATTGGCCTTAAGTTTAAATTTAAATATTGCCTGAATCGTCGTCGCAGTTTTCTTCTTTGTTTTACTGAGTAGGTAACTTTCCACCTTTCTACATAGCCGATAGTTCGAGACAATCGGTTAGAAATCAAGGGCAAGTTGGGGCTGCTTTTGAACAACCGGGCTTTGTGCCGTAACGGCTGACCCTATCCCGGTCAGATGAGACCATCAGAGTGGAACAGCCATCCACTATCCAGCTTATGGTTAAAGTAAATTTAACCCGCCCAAACGGTCAACCAGATGGACAATGGACATGCTTTAGTTCGACGTCACCTTTCCAATTACCTTGGCCTGAGATGTAGATGACTAACAGTCCCGAACATGAGGGCGTAATCAATGATATACAGCTGGCCTGGTATTGATGGTATATAAAATGAATGACTGCCTCGCCCAGAAATAACTTAACTGCTATGCGCCTCAGCCAATGAAATTCGTATAGCAAATATGGAGATGCAGCCCAAGTTGTAAGTGACTCAACAATTTGTAAACTTTTCTTCGCAAGGTCAAGCTAATTGTCGTTTTCTCTTTTCCTCCCTTCCCCAGGCAATCTTTGTGTGCTTGGTGGCGGCGGTGGCCGCTGCACCGCAGGACTATTATCAACAGCAGCCAGAGATCAGACTGCTGTCGTACCGGTTCAACTCGGATGACAAGGGCAACTACGAGTACGGATACGAACAGGACAACGGACAAAGGGTAAGTAGTCCGCCTTCCATTAAACTTTACGTTATTCAACGCATCCTTCAGGTCATAAATTGAAGCCGACCCTGACTTGTTTTATCCATAAATGTAGTCTTACGATACAACTGCTCAACTGGAGCCTGGACTGGTCGTGGCACCGCTGATGCCGACTCTGTCTGCCCGACCGACAGGTGGAGGAGGTCGGCAAGAGCATCCCCGGCTACGAGCCCGAGACGGGCTCCATCTCCAAGGTGGGCTCGTTCGAGTTCGTCTCGCCGGAGGGCCAGCAGTTCCGCGTGGACTACACGAGCGGCGAGGAGGGCTTCCTGCCGAGCGGCGCCCACCTGCCGGTGGCGCCTGCGCAGCTGCCCGAGTACCAGGCTCACCAGCAGCAGTTCCCGGAGCTGTACTGAGACGCCCGTTACACTGCCGGACCGCTCTGAACGTCTGACCCCATCAACTGCCCCTGTGATAACGGGCGCCGATCTCATGGTGCGCCGCTGTCTAGCTCAATAATACATACATCTGATCATTACTATGTGGCTGTTGTGTCTTCCTCGATCGTAAGGATTGTGAGAAGTTTTTTGTTACGCCAGCTGCTGCCCTAGACCACGGGACGACAGGGCATATTTTAAGGATTTTTCACTGCGTCCCAAAGGTGGCATAGGGCACACGCTTTGATCGGAAAGGGCACATTGCAAGCGAAATAGTATATAGGTAATGCAAGTGAGATAATGTACAGATACATTGTGTACTGTGCTGGTGGAGGGGCACTGCAAGCGGGATATTGGGAGCGGGCTGTGATTGCTTTTGCCAGTCTCGAAATTCGCCCAGTCGTAGTGCGTTCTTTATCCGCATTCAAAAGGCGGACCGGCGATTTAATGGCATTTACATTGTTGTTAGTCGCTCGTTTTCCTGAACGGCGTTGGGCGTGTTTGACCTCCCTTGACGCACCAAATTGTACCTATGCTTAGAGAATAAAAATGAATATGCACATGACTGATACATACGCCTCTTCATGCGTTTTTCACCCTTATCAATCGATTCAAAATAGAAATTGACGTGTGAAACATTGCCAATTTGCATTGAAGATACCATGTGTTTGAAATAATTAGATTACGTAAGGTCAAACAGTACCCACCTAAGTTGTGACAAGAAATCATCGGATTTTAAAGCTACATAAAAAATCCATCATAGATTAATGCTTTGGATGAACGGATGCTCTGGAATTGGATGCTTCGGATTTCGCTTCCTTACTGCATATCATGTAATATAACCCAAACTTTTCCCAATGGAAGTTCCTTTGTTTAATTATTATGCCCAGAAATGTGTCGATTTTGTGCCATTTCCGGGCGCTTTGGGGGGGGAGCATGGCCCCGTGGCCCCCTCTATATCCTCCTATGGCCAGACGGCCATGACGGCCCTGATCTGACCGTATGCCATCAAATGTCAAACCTCGCAATGATGCGATACTTTTTTTTTCGGAAAACGTGCATGTATCTCAAAAACTATGATAGCTAGGAGGGCGCAATCGATAGGAGAGAAGCAATCGATATATCTTGAACAGCTCTTTCGTCAATATTTCGTCAGAATTAAGTTCAGCTCAACGGTTAAGGCTCCATAGCCAAAAACGGGTAAAATTACAATTTTGTCAATATAGGTTTCATGAAAAGCTTTTGAACTAAAAAAGGTAGAGAATTTTCGTTTGCACGATCGTTCTTCTCTCATTTTTACCTCGAAATGTCAAGGTCAGAACTTGACCTCACATTAAGGTCATTTCGTGACCAAGATAGATCATGTCGCATATCAGTCGATGCGTTTCGATGAGGTACCTCAAAACAATGATACAATCCACTGTGCATGCAATAGCCCTGTAGGGCCGGATTTTGGGCCAGGCTCCGGGCCTGCGGGCTCCAACTTGACATCTCTAAACAGGACTTTAGGGAAGGGCAGGACACAGAGTCTGAGCCCTAAGGACAGGGCAGGCACAGGCCATGAAGCTAAGATAAGACGGATACTTGAGGGCTGGGTAGGATGCAGGGTCCGAGGGCAAGGCAAGGCGCGGGTCTGAGGCTATCATTACACAAGGCCGGAGAGTAGTGCAAGACACAGGGCCTTAGAACACCTGATGGTCAACACACCTGATGGCAGGGCAACACGCAGGATCTTAGAGCAGGGCAAGAAATAGTACCTAAAGGTAGAGCAAGACATAAGACACAGGTATGGCACAAGGCCCGAAACACCGCCCACGTCTTGTCATACCTTCGGGCCCCGAAGGTATGACAAGACGTGGGCGGTGTTTCACGGACGCTGCTATCAAATTCCGCGAGCTGGCGTCATACTTGTGGTAGTGTTTGAGCAATGGGCCTGTTGATGTCTCCATGGGAACCCAATTTGACACTGTAATAGCAGCGTGCTGCTATCACCGGTGAAACAGGGCCAGGGTATGGGGCCTGAGGGCAGGGCAAGGCTCAGGGCATGAAGGCAGAACAAAGCACAGGTTCTGAGGACAGGTAAGGGCACGGGGCATGAGGACGGGAAACGGCACGGGATCTGAGGACGGGAGACACCACAGGGCCTGATGACAGGGCAGGGCACAGCGCCTGAGAGCGGGCATGGGACACGAGACCTTAGGGCAATGCAGAATACAGGGCTTGAGGGCAGAGTAGGACACAGGGTCTGATGGCATGGGACGGCACAAGGCCTGACGACAGGGCAGAGCACAGCAACTTAGGGCGAGGCAGGGCACGGGCCTGAGGGCGATACAACGCATGAGGCTTAATGGCAGAATAGGGCACAGGGTCTAAGGGCAGGGCAATGCACATGAGGCCTGGAAGCAGAACATGACAGGACAGGGCCTGAGGCAGGGCAAGGCATTAGGCTCGAGGATGGGCGCGGGGCCGGGGCATGAGGACATGGGAAGGCACAAGGCCTGATGGCAGGGCAGGGCACAGTACCTGAAGACAAGGCAGCGGCACGGGATCTGATGGCAGGACGTGTCACAAGGCTTGAGGGCAGAGAAGGGCAGGGGCCCCAAACTAGGGTAGGGCAGGGCACGGGGCCAAAAGACGGGAAGGCAGCGCATCAAATTTCCAGGCAGAATATATAAAGTATCGTGTTTGAGGGCAGGGCAGAGCGGGGCACAGGGCCTGAATGCAGAGCAGGGCACAGGGCTGAAGAAAGGGCAGGGCAAGGTACAAGACCTAAGGACAGGGCACTGGGCAGTGGGCAGGGCACATATCCTAGGGGTATAGTAGGGAAGAACATAATAAGGTGTATGACCAAGGGTAGGGCAGGGCACAAGGACTGGAGAGGGCATGTATGTGCTTAGGTACATAGTAAATCAGGGCACAAAGCAATCGGAAAGCCAACATCTTTTACACAGTAAAAGACCGAGGCATGTTACTTATTTTTGCTCGCACTTTACGGCTGAAACCGTGGCATTTCAGTGTGGGACGCAGTGGTCCAAATTTCGCGAGGGCTACGTCCCAAAGGCAGGGGGCTGCGTCCCAAAATGGGACGCAGTCAGTATGTTAAAATATGCCCTGCGGGACGACACCTAATGCGCACCTAAGACGCCTAATGCAACGTTGAATATATATATTTTTTTTTTAATGTGAGGCCTGAAGGTTAAGTAGGCATGGATATAATGTAGGTGTGATCTTTCATATCTGACCTAAAACCCATGAACATACAAACTGAATTAATGTCACCTTAACACTTAACTTACGTCCAGCTCCTATCAACGCCTCAAAGTCCGAAGCATTTCTTTCAAGTCTCTAGAAAGACGGGAGACCAATGGTTTTGCAATCGGCAATCAACAAAATACATGACCGATGCTTAGGTATTTCCCCATTAACCCTGTACGATTTTGTTGAATATGCTCAACATTATATGTTGTATCGAGATGCATTCATGATGGTCTTTTACAATTACAGTAAATGAAACACACGGCGGAGGTGGCAAGGCCAGCATAAGGACGAGAAGAGCATGCCAAGGAAGATGTCATAAACGTTTTACGTAATTTCACGATATTGTGATGAATGGTCATTGGTCACGCATCTTTTGCCTACGACATGTTTCAAGACCATGATTTCAATAATTATGCTGCAATTCCCGCACCACACCGCTTTTCCTAACCCTAATTCCAAGCCACAGGCCAGGGACCCCAGCGACTCCCCTCCCCCTCCCCCCCCCCCCGGTAGCAGAGCCGCTGGCCCAAGTGACTATCGTCTTACCGAGTCTGTATCCATCGCCAAGAGATGCACATTGCACGCTTCAAAACAGATGTCTTTATTGCTAGCAGCTCGCTTCATGGTAAATAAAAGTCAAACGTTTGCGCATTCGAGTCTCTTCTATCCATTCAGCTGACAGTTGTGACCACATCATCACATCAACATCAAGCGATCTCGGGAAGCTGCGGCATGCAGTCGGTCTGCTACTGCCATCTCGAGGCAAAAGGTGAAGCTACTATAAGTGTAGCATTGCGGCACAGCATAATTTCAGGCGTTGTGCTACTGCCATCTAGCGGCAAAAGGAGAAAGCAAAGAGCATTGCGGCACAGCATAACTGCAGGCGTTCTAACACTGCCATCTAGGAACAGAGAGTGAAGTTAAGGGTCATTGCGGCACAGCATAACTTCAGGCGTTGTGCTACTGCCATCTAGCGGCAAAAGGAGAAAGCAAAGAGCATTGCGGCACAGCATAACTGCAGGCGCTCTAACACTACCATCTAGCGGTGAAAGGAGATAACAAAGAGCATTGCGGCACAGCATAACTGCAGGCGCTCTAGCACTGCCATTTAGGGACGAAGGTAACGATTATGAACACTACGGCACAGCGTAACTACTGTCGTTCTGAATATGCTATGTAGGGTTGAGAGACGATCATGAAAGCTGCGAAACAGCGTAACTGCAGTCGTTGATACTAGGCGGCTTAACATGATACGGTGGGGATAAATGTGTGGTACACGCCTTTTCGAGAAATACAAATACCTTTTTGGTATTTTAGAAATTGAGCAGCAATAATGTCGTTAAAAAAATTTGCGTTTATGAAGCGATAATGAATCAGCATCTAACAAACCACAAAGATACTTTTAATCAGCCGCCTTCCTAGGACAGGTGAAGCCTAGTATCAACTGTTCAGTATTTTTTGCTTTCGAAATAATTGGTTGGAATTCGAAATGCATGCTATACCTACACCTTACCAACTAAAACATAAGTTTACTTTAAAAGAAATATATCTCTTTAGATATTTGTTTCATTGCCATGTTTCTTTTTTGCGGACCATGACAATTGTGCAGCATGCATTTGTAGAGCCCATGAGTCTCAATTCGCCTACATACAAACAGGAAACCTGCACGATTACTAAAAATTTTGGCTTTGAGCAATCTCTGCATTCATTGTAGGTGTCGCGTAATGTACATCTGAGCTCAGTGTATGAAGGAAGCAAAACAGGGATTAATTTTTGATTTATGAGTAACTTTATCTTTTCAATCAAAATCTGACCATGCATTTTATTGCTACAACATATCGACTTCTGGTATGTGCAATATAGGAATGACGACAAATGCAAACAACATTTGAGCTTGCTATGGTACTGAACGCAAACTTATCAAAAATACCTTTTGAGAAATACCTATTTGTTTTTTATGTCTGTCATCGGTGCAACAACTCAGTAGCAATAGCATGATGTTGTCGTTTATTCATGAAAGCAGACACTTTGATTGCAAACACATGATAGTCGGCGGCGCACCATGAGATCGGCGCCCGTTATCACAGGGGCAGTTGATGGGGTCAGACGTTCAGAGCGGTCCGGCAGTGTAACGGGCGTCTCAGTACAGCTCCGGGAACTGCTGCTGGTGGGCCTGGTACTCGGGCAGCTGCGCAGGCGCCACCGGCAGGTGGGCGCCGCTCGGCAGGAAGCCCTCCTCGCCGCTCGTGTAGTCCACGCGGAACTGCTGGCCCTCCGGCGAGACGAACTCGAACGAGCCCACCTTGGAGATGGAGCCCGTCTCCGGCTCGTAGCCGGGGATGCTCTTGCCGACCTCCTCCACCTGTCGGTCGGGCAGACAGAGTCAGTGTCAGCGGCGCCACGACCAGTCCAGCTTAGCAGATATTCCGTAAGACTGTATTAATGGATAAAGCAAGCCGGGGACAGCTTCAATTTATGACCTGAAGGATGCGTTGAATCACGTCAAATTCAATGGAAGGCGGACTACTTACCCTTTGTCCGTTGTCCTGCTCGTAGCCGTACTCGTAGTTGCCCTTGTCGTCCGAGTTGAACCGGTACGACAGCAGTCTGATCTCTGGCTGCTGCTGATAATAGTCCTGCGGTGCAGCGGCCACCGCCGCCACTAGGCACACAAAGATTGCCTGCGAAAGCACAGAGGGAGGGGTCTTGAACAACCATGGCTCGAACTAAAATGCAAGCTTTGCTGATGGCTCAACACTAATGGCAAAAGGCTCAATGTGGCTGATAATGGGCAGTGTGATCTACACTTTGTTCAGTTCTAAAGATTATCTACTTTCTACAGGATGTAAGGATCGTAATGCACACATTAGTCGCAATGAATTGAGTCTTGCTACCATATTTAAGAGAGTTTAGCGTAGTGAGGAAAATCATATTGATGATTATGAGCATATTTAATGGCAATTTTTTTTTCATTTTATTCAGATTACATTGAGGATTCGGTCAATTAAAAATATGCTCATAATCTTGCTACCATAGTTTAATTTATTGCAAGTAAACAAAAGGAATTAGCGCAGATTATGTAGACATGTCCAACTAATGCGAGGCTTATATCTCAGCAACCACTTGACCGATTAACATGCGGTAAATTTTGTAGGGTAGCTTCATTCCTTCTACCAAGTACTGGACTATTCCCGATGCATGTGGATGACCCCTTATGCACGTGCCACGTGCAAAACGAAGAGGTGTCAGTTTTGTAATTGTTGCAATATCTCGGTAACTACTTGGCCGATTGCGCTCAAAGTTGGCATGTAGGTAGGCACCCACTAGGCACTGCATATCCATGTGCCAGAGTTGGGGTGCTGCTGCACGTGCGCACGTGCAGGGGTCGATTCCAGATCTCGAGAACGGCTGGACCGATTGCGCTCAAATTTGGTACACAGTTAGGGACCGGTTAGTAGGGTGCCGTGCACAAGTCAGTTGGGACCCATTTTGCACGTGCGCACGTGCAGGGTGCCGCTTCCAGATCTCGAGAACGGCTGGGCCGATTGTGCCCAAATTTGGCACATCGCTAGAGACCGGTTAGTAGGGTGCCGTGCACAAGTCAGTTGGAGGTACCCCCTCGCAATTTCGCACGTGCAAGGCCCACCATCTCGCTCGCTCCGTTAGTCGCCCCAAAAGGCGTTATACTGGTCATATACTGCAGTAAATAACGTTGCTTGCCTGAGGGCTCTTAATCCCTCTTATTTGCTACATCGGCGCATATGACGTCCGTACATATTTCTTTTCACTAATTAATGACAAAGCTTTATTTACCCCGCCGTCACTGTAAAAATCAAGCATAGAAAAAATTGTATCCTGAAGTCTGTCAAACGTGGACGAATAATAGGCATAGCTAGTTGGTGCGATGCATGGTTTGACGTTGTTTTCCTATGAATGTTCTGCACATCAATTGACCATAAATTGACTAATGTAGTTACAATGCGACAATCCTGCTCGTCTAAGGTATGCATAACAAAAGGACTGACAAAAGATCGACACACACAACTTTCATATGAAAAAAACTGCTCGAAATGTTATCATCATTGCTTAAGAAAGTTGAAAATGCTTTCCATTTTTTCATACTAACCTAATCGTTGGTTTCTTTTGGGAATGTTACATGAAGCCACCGTTGCAGCTTTGAGAGACGACTGCATGGTCACTACGGGCAATCTAACCGAAGCGACCAAATGTCGTCTGCATGCGTTATAGCAATGCTTCACAAATTTTCACCACTTCACACAACGTTTGGAAACGAGTAAACTCCACTCCCACTGCGCTAGTGCCGTTCCTGCATAGCTCACCAGCTTCATGTTGAGGTTGAGGTGCTGATCCTTGGTCACGAAGGCAACTGTGCCTGGCTGCGCACGCCGCCAGTTTATATAGCTCAGCAGGGCTCCCCGGTCTGTGAGTGGCAGCAATCCGGTCCCCGAGAGCGGATAACGTCCCGCGTATCAGATGAAGCCGAGAGAAGGCCGGCCATGCGAGCTGCACTGTAGATGATGCCAACGCACTGTGCAATTAAACGACAAAGGCTAACGGCCAAGGTCATGAGCAGTTGCGCTGATTGACGAACTCAGGATTTGCCTAGCATACATTCATGGTGCTAGAATATTAAGGGAAGTGATTGGAAATTGGAATCCTGCCCATCATCAATTCATTGAAGGTATCTTACTTTTAATATGTGGCTAAAGGAATGCTCCAAAATGTCTTGCCTGGTAAGAAAACATCTGAATTATTTAGCCTAGAAAAAAATGCTCATCCGCTACAACACATATCATAGACCATTGTTTTATTCAATCTCACCGACCGAGGGGGGACGGTGCTGTCCAAAGATGGCTGTTTTCATGATTGCTTAGAAGGCCCTATGTAGATCGGAATGTTGGTACCCTTTACACTACACATTCAATACGAACTACCGTATGACAACAACCGAATTGTAGGCCAGGTCAGATCCGTAACTTATGGTGGTATAAGCATTAAGCATACCCCCGCATGGCCCAAAAATGCCGCAACTTTGTCATGCCCAGGGGAAAGAAGAACCCCTTTACACTATCGGAATTATTCTATATGTAGTATGATATGGTAAGGGCTCAGTAACTTCTCACAATGCGGAACTAAAGCCGCCTCGATATGCCGTTGCCTCTCACCAGCAATGACGTTGGCGCTCACGGCGAATTTCAATGGATTTCGGGTAATAAAACGGGACATGTGCTGAGCTCTGGACACTTGGCACATGAAAAAGTCACTCAGCGAACATCGAGCGCATTAAAACGTGACAACATTCTTTAGGTTTCTGATGCACCGATGCATGAACTAGCGGCAAACCAGACAAGCTGCGTTGAATCGTACATGACACAGGTGATACAATATGCCAGAAAAAAACGGCAGGTGAAGGGCTGTGTCCTCGACTGCAGGGCACGGATGTTCGCTCATGACTATCCCACGAGTGGGATCACGCCTCCAGACGACCTCGCCAGCCGCCCGCCGCTCGCAAATCGGAGGCATCGCGCGCCACGTCGTCCCGGCACTCTCAAAGCACGCCGCATCTCGCTGAAAGCCGACCGGATCACGTGGTGAGTGGGTGACGGTGACCGTCCGGCCCGAGTCTGTGCGGCACAAATCCCGTTGAACTCAGCGGTGTGGTATCGCAGCCGAGATCAGGGATCTCACGTGTCTCTGCAAGAAATCGTATGTTTTCGCATTCGCGATATCGGAACAAATGTTTTGGAGTTATGTTCGCCGAAAGTAGGTGGAGAAGTGAGATAAAATTTAATGGAATGTCATAACGCGAAATTTTGTGTCAATCAGAATATCCAAGAAGAAAGACACACCTTAAATTATTTTAGCCTAACCGAATGCACAGACAATAGACACATTATATTTTTTCAGTAGCTGCTGATGTGAATTGGTAAGCTGTTGACAGACACCTTGGATCCTCACCCGGTAGTAGCCACACTACCCAAAGCCTCTTCCTGAGCTATTGTCCTGTCTTCAATAACGTATATACGCCACGCAGTGCTCACTACTCAGCCTTGATCCGCAGCAAAGTGGAGCCCCGCGCGGTATAAGGTCGCAACCCAGCTGATGATAGGTCTGTCGCTACCTGCATGGAGGAATCCGGGGTAGCTTCCCCTGGAATAAGCATCAATCGATTGAAAATTGCTCGAGATCCACGTTTTGGGTAGATTGATTATCCAAAAACAAATAAATCAAGAAATGAGGAAAAGATGCATAATTATTTTGCTATCGATGATGATCTCTATGAGTTATCATGCCTCAAGACTTAAAATTGCCACGGAAGGTTGATTTTTTTCTGTCGAATTTAATTCGATTTGATTTGATTTTTCGACCGGTGAATAAATTGAATTATGGTTGAAGGAACCAGAACTGTAACAAATGAGTCACAAACAATTAACACGCATCATGATATTCAATAGAAAAGGGATCCTTCGTGGTGACCCTCAACTCCAGATCAGGCAAACAGGGGCCCACAGGACTATTTTTTTCTTTTTTCGTTTTTAGTCCGAACCTTTTGATTGAAAGGATTCACAAGGACAGAGCCCCCGCTAAGCGAAGCTTCTTTCGTTGACCGTGCCCTCTACCCTCCGATATCGCAATTCCGGTTCTATGACAGAATTCAATGATATATTCATATGATAATATGACAGAGTCCAACGTTTAACGTGCGCACATAGCCACGAACAGCCGGTCCCCTCTCTGACTTCGCCTGGCTGCGGCCTGCCACCAACCGCAACCATACCTGTCAGCCCATAAACGTCAAGCGCCCGTCGCGTTTCGAACCCGGACTGTTGTAACCGGGAACGCATGCTTTCACCACGCGGAGTCCAATGCTCTACCGACTGAGTTCGGTCTACCGACTATCCGTCGAATGACGAGACTCGAGTTCGGCATTGCATTTCTGTGCTGTTTCACAGACAGACAAGGTCAAGATAGTCCATGACCGCTCCGTCTGGCACCTGTCTGCGGAGAGGCGGCGTGGCCGGTTCTGAGTTAGGACACGTCACCGGCTGTCGGAGACTGCCCCACCGGCCGGCAGGATTACACGGCGGACACAGCCGTATAAATGCACCGGCACAGCACCAAGCAGCACCAGTCATCACACCTCTCTGGTCTCGACACCTCCCCAGTGGTCTCACAATGAAGTCGGTATGTATGACGGCTGAGCCCAGCAAACGGCTAATCCAAATAAACGGCTGAGCCCAGCAGACGGATAACCCCAATAAACGACTGAGCCCAACAAACGACTGATCCCAGCAAAGAAAGCGCCGAATTTAGTTTCATCAATGACATTTTGTCATTGAACTGACCAAACTCGAATCCAAACTTATGTTATTGTAACTTATTAAAGACATTTTATGGTTTATCACCAATTTGACTCTCATAATCACACTCCTCTGATAATTCATGTTTTACCTGTGCCTATGGCAATAAAATTGTTATAAAAATATGAAGGTTTCTACCATTGAATAACCTTTCTTCTTCCACAGGCAATCTTTGTCTGTTTGGTGGCGGCGGCGGCCGCTGCACCGCAGGACTATTATCAGCAGCAGCCAGAGATCAGACTGCTGTCGTACCGGTTCAACTCGGACGACAAGGGCAACTACGAGTACGGATACGAACAGGACAACGGACAGAAGGTATGGAGTGTAGCTTCCCCTACATTTTACAGGTCTCAAAGAGGTCTTCAGGCCATAAATTGAAGCCGACGTGGCTTGACAATAACTGATTGGTAGTCTTTCGGTTTGCTTGTTTTGCTGAACCGGCTCATTCGGTCTAACGAGTCCATTTTAGAGTCGGAAGGATGATGGGAATAAGGGGGAGACATTGGTCGGGGCGGGCACCCTGGTCAGTCATCAGGACTGCACCCATCCAGTAGATACCAACGGACAGATCACCCAGCCCCCTGACACTCACCGCAGCAAGCTACGGGCCTACGCCTATAGAGGAGCTTCCCGTATGAGATAAAGTTGTCCGTCCAGCCTGGGTCAGGGGGTTGAGGCGTGGATGAGTAGGATTTGACTATCCTGAGGATGAAAAGGACGGATTAGCTGAGTCTTTCGGTAACTGAGACGTTGATGCCGACTCTGTCTGCCCGACCGACAGGTGGAGGAGGTCGGCAAGAGCATCCCCGGCTACGAGCCCGAGACGGGCTCCATCTCCAAGGTGGGCTCGTTCGAGTTCGTCTCGCCGGAGGGCCAGCAGTTCCGCGTGGACTACACGAGCGGCGAGGAGGGCTTCCTGCCGAGCGGCGCCCACCTGCCGGTGGCGCCTGCGCAGCTGCCCGAGTACCAGGCCCACCAGCAGCAGTTCCCGGAGCTGTACTGAGACGCCCGTTACACTGCCGGACCGTTCTGAACGTCTGACCACGCACGACCATCTCCGGTGCTTGTGCTCAGCACGGGACGAGCTGACACTGAACCTGCCGATTGGAACATGCTCTTTTTTCTTCGCTGTTAATATATTGCAATGTTTACGTGCTTGTTTTATTGGTACCTCTCGGGAGCCCAAAAAGGACTTCCTCCTTAGCGAGCTATCTGCACGGCGTAGGATGCTAGGCTGAATAAATTTCAAGAAGCATAAAACAGTCGCATGCATGCAATTAAACAACATTTGCTTGCGGCAGCCGGCAACGGCTAGGCTTTCTAAAACACCTTCAGTACTGCTTTAAAGTTCTAGCTCATACTTTACTTATTCGTAGAAGAACTAAATGTAAACTAAATGCTCGCACAGGCATGGATCATGTGCCAGCTCCACGACAGGAGGTTCGGATACCTGCCACCTCATATACATGTAAAGGCATAAAAATCTAAGCAACATAGCGGGAAGTCGCAAATGAAATATTTCTTTTTCTTAGATCAATCATTTCGGAATTCAGATCAAGTGCTCATCTGAAGTTAAAAAGAACGTCGCACGCTGTCATCAAATGTCGGGCCACACGATGTCCCGAATGGGTTGGACAATATCCCTAATATAAGCGAAGCCATGGTTCATTCATAAAAAGGAGGCTTGCACTAGGAGGGCGCAGAAAGCAGTCGATGTCTGATTAAAGGGACTTCTTAGCTGATGTCAATGGCTTTGATCTCAGGTAAACCATTTAGCCTAAAACATCACAGATGGTCATTTTTTTATTTTATGCGAATTGCTATCCCCTAGCCCTACTGTGTTGTAAATAAATTTGGGTCTAGGCCAATACCGACTTAGAAAGGATTCGGAAACTGCTATAAAAGCCTCCTAACCCTCGCCGGCCGAAGAGGGACAAGGCGGGTGCCGCCCTCCATAGATCCTACCTATCTTTCGCTATTAAAGTGCGTTGGAGATAGAGAACTGAAACTTGGCATAGCTAACTTCCGATTCAAGCCGGATCTTGTGACCGCAACTGCATTTTCAGGTCAGGCCAGGTCACTGAACTATGACGTCATAAGTGAACCCCTACACGGTCCTAAAATGTCACAACTTCGCGATGCTCTCAGTGCCAGAGAAGCCTTCATAGGGATGTGATACCTGCAGTTCTCAGTATCCTTCAGAGGTCTCATAACTCGTACACCTCGGATTTTTCCTAAGGTTTACCTGAGGTCAGGCTGGTTACGTGGCCTTACTATTATTAGTCAATGAGGAAAATATGGAAATTGTTACGTTGGCTCCGAGAATGACCTAAAACTATCTGAAGCACATGGAACCGTGATTTCATGCACCCTTTACAAGTTCTGAAGTTTCATTTTTACATAGTTGAGCTTGCGTAACGTTATTTACGAGGTCACTATAATGAGCTTTCATCAATAACTTCCGATCAAATTGAGCTAGCAAGTCGAGAAAAGCAATAATAGACTCGGGAACACTTGCCAATTAAAATGATAATGCAATATGACCTCTTTTGACCAGCTTCATGACCTGATTGTCTCTGATCTGACCTTGGCCCAAGACCAAAACCGTAACTTGACCTCACCTAAACAAAAAGTATGTTATTCGAAGCGCATGAGCATGGAGCCACAAGATGGTGCCACAAGCGGGGCTCTGTGACCATTTTTGGCGAAGTTATTTACCAAAAACCGAAACCATACCTCGAGGCACTTGACCTTACCTCACAGGTCACCGGTTGACCTGATACCTTAAAGTCGGGTACCAGTCGCTGCGTCTCGCAACGGCGCATGCTCTCGTTTTACCGTGAGTAGTTCAAGTAGTTCAACTTGGGGTAAAACGGCGAGGGGGTCGCATCTACCCACTTCGACCGGGACTATTAAAAAACTAAGATATGATGTAGGTCCGGCGAGGCTTAGATGTAATCCGGTCATTTTTTTTTTTTGCTTATGTATAAACAATGATGTGAAAAGTCCTATTTCCATTTCTCATAGTTCTGTTTCTACTTACATTTACGTTTGCAGGAAAAACCACAATAATGTTTAATCCAGAATTGGAGGATCAAAAGCATGCGATAGCATGCTTTTGCATCCGGAAATTCCCATTGGTGGTTCGCTGAAAAAAAGTTCGGCTGAACCAAGGGCTGAACCTGTTTGTCAGTGAGTGAGTGAGTATGTGAGTGAGTTTGTTCAAGCTTTTTTGGACCTGGAGTCAAAATGGGTGGACCGATCGGGACGAAAGTGGGACCGTTTGATTCGTCTCCGGCGAGGTAAACTTTTGGTGCTGGCCTCGGTTCGCTCGGTGCTTCGTGGCACATGCTATTCCGCTTCAAAGTTTCGGTGACACGAATTTTTTGTCAAGGCTACAGGTCAACCCAAGGTCACGGGCAAAGCCATACTGGCGGGACACATCGGTAACACCTTGAACCAGTTTCCAGGGGGGTCACCGTCTGCGAGGGGTGCAGGCTGCACGTGCTGGGGTCGGAAAACCGTTTTGACGTGAGGTCCTCTGGCTCAAAGAAATTTTAAGCTATCAACCTCAAAATCGGTTCAATGGTAGTCCCAGGCAAGGCCTCCAAAATAATGCACATTTCATTGGGCTATGGATCCTCCAATTCTGGCCCAAGGCAACGCACGAGCGCTGCCGGCATCTAGTTACAGCTTTAAGTCATATAAACATGTAGTTCAGTTATTTCAGTAACATCATGGCCAGGCGAGACGACGAAAATCGTAATCAACAGCGATTAGATGATTGCATTGATTTGATACTGCTTGCAAGCCTGTGTCTTGTATTGAGCATGTCATAGAGCAAAAATGGTGATGATGATAAATATATCAATGATAACATTTCCCGCGTGCCGGTGGAGGGGGGAGGGGGGAGTATCACGGAAGCTTCCCTTCTCGAATGATTGCAATGTCTGCTGACGGTTGAGCTAGATACGGAAATCAATCGAAGGAACATATTATGATCAGTCCCTTAGGAGTAAATAACAGCATGGTTCTTTGATTCAACAGTTACGTAAGCTAAGCATCCACATTGCCTGGGAGCTGTGGCTTGTTTGCTATACCAGCTTCGTTAGGTCAACGTGCAACGTGAATATGAATTCAATCTGCGCTGGACTCAAGAACGATTCATTTTTTTATTGGATAGATCAAAGACCCACCTCTGTATACAGAGGTCTATGGATAGATTGACGCTTTGTCTGTCATGACTCGAACACAAACTTGATTAATGTCAGGGTACTTACCACGCCATAAGCGCGTTGCGCCTCATGCGTGTTTTTAAGCATTCCTTACAAAGAAAATTCCGTTTCGTTGGAAGAAACTGACCTGCGGTGTCACAAACCTCAGCTCCCGCCGGCTCGCTCTGTTCCTGATGCCGCCGTGTGCGTGTGTCCTCTGCCGGCTGACTGGGAAGGTGAGGGGCAGGGAGGGGAAGTCAGAGGGGAGCAGGGAGGGGAAGTCAGAGGGGAGCAGGCACCGTATCCGGCCGGCTGCGCGGCTCGCGGCGCGCCCCTGCGCCTCGCAGTTGCCGCCGGGCGAGGGGACGGTCCGGAGGGTGGGAGAGGTCGCCAGCCGGCGCCGCTGACACCAGCTGACCCGTCCCACAGGCGCAGCACCATGAGGCTCCTACAGTGCAGGTCAGTCGGCCGGCCCGCGGCGCTCAACATGTCTTCAAAGTCTCTACTTTTATTGAATAAGCATAGAAATCAGCGTCTCCGATGATCAACAATGTCACGAAATAATCTTCTCACTCTTGATAAGCAATGGGAAAGCATGATGTCCGATATACTAACTGCATCTATACATCTGCATCGCATACTAACTGTAACATAGACATTAGCGTTACCGGAGAACTAGATACTGCTTCCGTATCGAAGTAGAGGCGCACCTCTATGTTTTGATACCGCCAGAGCAAGCTTGAGAAGTATAACAAGTTAAGTTTCCTGCACGTGGAAACGCTCGTTATGCCAACTGTTCAGCCCATTGGCCGTGGAAGCGTGGGACCACTGCAACCATGATTGGCCAATCATTGATTCCGGTGCCGCCCAGTTATGGCGTTCTACATTCGGTGCAGACTGTATTGAGAGCTGTCCTGGTATCACTCTGACTAAACTATAACTTCCTTCCACAGTTATGGGTTCGGTATTGCTTCGTACTGACGGTAAATTTGTTAGAAATTATCATTCACACATGTTTCACTTTATTTTTCAAAATCTGACTTCCTTGTTACGGCGTAACTGTTCTTGTTGTATTAAGGAACTTAATAGTAGGTAAAAGTTTTTAGCAGTTGCCCCGAAGTGATTGCGTGCTCGTATGCTGCACCTTTTCGGTAGCCTGTTCGTAAATGCGTAAAGTGTACGTGAATGAATGCATTACATAAAAATGTCTTTGCTCAAATATTATGGTCAAAAAGATAGAAGCAATTAGTTATTTCTTTACTGCCGATGCCGGCTGACTTTCAAGGCTTAGCAGAGAACGCAAGTAACATACGTTTTACCTTCTGCATTCCGTGTCCCTTAATTGTCTATGAATGAAATGAATAGATATTAGATAGGTATAGATTATGAGCATTACTGTAAAGCTTCGAATGGTTAATTATAATAGTCATATCATGACCTTTTCCTTTTTGGACATGCTTTTAATTGCACATACACTGTATACGTGAACTTTTGGAAACAAAAATGTTATTGAATTTGACGAATATAAAAGAAAAAAAGCGAAAAGCAAAATACAAATCGATTTAAAAAGTGTTTCCCAAAGGAGCCAAAGTTCGATTCTGTCGCACTAAACTACATGTAGATTACACCATTACTGACTCGCCGGCCGAGGGGGGGGGGCGGGTGCCGCCCCCCCATAGGGTTTTTTCGCGATAGCTCCGAACACGCTGGCGATAGAGAGCTGAAACTTGGCATACCTGACCTTTGATCCAAGCCGCATCTTTTGACACCAACCGCATTTTTGGGTCAGGTCAGGTCACTGACCTATGACGTCATAAGTGAACCTCTGCACGGTCTTCAGATGTCGCAACTTCGCAACGCCCTCACTGCCAGAGGAGATGTCACAGGGAAATGAAACTTGCAGGATCTAGTATCCATTATGAGTCTCACAACTTGTATATCTCGGATTTTTCCTAGAGGTCATATGAGGTCAGGTCATTTTCGTGACCTCACCATTATAAGTCAATGGGGGAAAATTCAAACTGCTATTCTGGCGCCGGGAACGATCTCCAACTATCTCAAGCACACAGAATCGTGGTTTGATGCACTCCTTGCAAGGTTAGATGCGTCACTTTTGCAATGTTGACCTTGCGTGACGTCATTTATGACGTCATCAAGGTCATATTAGTTTTTCGTCAATAACTCCCGATCAAATTGAGCTAGCGAGTCCGGAAAGCCACCACTGGACTCGGGAAGACCTGCCGAATCGAATGATATGCGACATGACCTCTTTCGACCAACTTCGTGACCTGGGGGTGCTGACCTGACCTTGACCTGAGGTCAACACCCCAAGTTGACCTGACCCGGACAAAAAGTATATCATTCGACGCGCCTGATCAAGGCGAACACGATGCTGCCAAAATCGCGGCTCTGCGGCCGTTTTTTGCGGAGTTATTCACCAAAAACTGAACCGTACCCTGGGGCACTTGACCTGACCTCAGAGGTCACCGGTTGACCTAGGACCTTAAAATCGGGTACCAATCTCTGCGTCTCGTAACGGCGCACACGCTCGTTTTTTCCGCGACGCGCTAGCTCCACCAGGGGCGAAACGGCGAGGGGGGGGTCGTACCCGCCCCCCCCCCTCGGCCGGCGCGTATGTAGAAAACCAATAGGTCCGGCGAGGGTTAATAGTATCTATAGATGTCTTTTCCAACTATTTACGTTATTTGCATTTTAACATTTTTTACAATTGTTTAAGATCTCACTTTTAACACAAAAAACAATAGAGAACATCATCATTTTTACCGTGAAACGTATTCATAAAACCTCATTAGATGATAAAGTTCAGTGTTCCGTATCAACCAGAAGATCATATTTAATCATTATTATTTCTTTTGTATTACCAACATTTTTGCATTAGGCACCAAAACAAATCATCATCGAAACAATATGCTGCTTTTCAAATTTTGATACAGAGGTTATTATTTCGGAACTTAAGTAACTCACCAGTATATTGACCTTCTTAAGAAAAAACTTTCGGAAATAACAAAGAAAAAACTTTCGGAAATAACAAAGTAACTCACCAGTACATTAACATTCTTAAGAAAAAAAAACTTAACTAAGTGCAGGCGTATAAGAACAATTGCCGTTAGCTATTGACTTGCGCACGGCATTGAGAACTTGACCGGGATAATACAGTTGAAGTGGCATAGTAACTGCAACTCCAGTAATTGATTCCAGCCAGGAAAAAACATCCTAAAAATTCCTTCCAACGCCCCTGTCAAATCGTCCACCCTTTGAACAAGTAGCAGGACCCAGCCCATACACAATTTTCGGTCACTCACAGCTCTGGCCAGCTTGTTTTGAAGTTTGTTAGCTGCATGAACAGTAGTTATATCCATGATACACGATTTGAACAAGTAGCAGGACCCAGCCCATACACAATTTTCGGTCACTCACAGCTCTGGCCAGCTTGTTTTGAAGTTTGTTAGCTGCATGAACAGTAGTTATATCCATGATACACGATTAAAATGGACTGCAGCTACACATGTTTCAGAACAAAAAAAAAAAATGATTAGATACGAGGTATAACAAAGTTAATTTACCAATTTCTTAGTTTCTCGCCTTTGTCAGCGAGGTCCTCGCCACCCCATCAGGTGACTGTGTAACTTGACCCCGGCCTGGCGGCGGAGTACCCACTAAACGCTCGTCCATCGCTGCTCCGTCTGTTCCCCGCGGAGCAGTCGTCCCTTTCCGGTGCAGTGCGGTCGAACTGCGAGCCGAGAAGGGGAGGGGGCGAGGGCGGCGGCCAGAGCACTACTGAAGAGACGTACTGCCGACAACACACCGAGGCAGACGACATATGATACTGCTGGCAGCGGTCTGCCGCCGGAGCCCCGGCCCGTCGAGCGGCGCAGCACCGCAACCTGCGTGGGGGGGGGGGGTCACCGTATACACGCGCACACGCATCCGAGGGCTGAGTTACATAAGTTTATTGGAAGGTTGATTCAATTAGCTAATGAATCATGTGGAGCCATATCCATAATGATATGATTTAAATGCAAAAATTTATTGAGAACCACTGAATAAATAGTACCTTTTGCGTCGAAAACTTTGCGCTGCAATCCCTTTCCGGTTAGAGAGGTCGGCTAATCTCAGCGAAGGCGACCTTCTTCGAATATGTGGCATGCAATAAGTCTTCCCTAAAACATCATTTTTCATAAATTCCTTGTTTCTGGAAGGGGCAAAATATATTCCTGAATCTTGTAACAGAGCCAAAGCCCCCTCAGCCCAGAGTCCGGCACTGTCTGAACTCGTTTGTTTGAGATAACAACAGCCATATGTCCATGCGCAATGCGCACGTTCCCTTTATAATATTGCAATATTTTTATGCTTCATCCATTTTAATGTGCAAACGAGCATCGGAATCAAAACAGTGTTATGTACTTATCGTAAGTCTTAATTGCAGTAAAGTAACTGTCTACATAGTTTAGTTCAGAGGCCACCCTTTGAAACCTGAAGCTTGATGTCAAATTTTTCACTCATTCTGTTATTCATTCTCCAATACTCCGTGGCCATGATCATCTCTCGTAAGTTCGTCGGTCAGTTTCGTCCCGGCGCTCTGGCGCCCACGTCCACACCAGATGGAGACAGGCGGCGACGGCGGATGTCCTGCTGAACGCGGCCTCAGCGGGACAGCCGCGGCGGGCCGGGGCGTGTTATCTGACCGACACGGTCCGCTTCGTCCGGTCTGCCGGCGCCGCGGCCCGGCCGGCCCCCATTCAGAGCTGTGCCGAGCCGCGGCTGCGGGCAGCCTCTCCGACTTCCTGGAGACGGTGCGGTCGTGGCGGCCTCCGCGGTCTCTGCCCGCGCGGGACGCCGCAGCACGCGCCCCGGGGCGGCGCCGGGCGGTCGCCGATGGCACAGGACAGCTGGGTCGGGTCGGTCAGATGAGGTCTGCCGACTGACCGGCGCCAGTGATAACGGTCCCGACAGACCGCCGCTTCCTGGACAGCGCCCCGAATCCGCCGGAACCGGAACACGGGCCGCCGGAATCGACAGAGGAGCGGACGACACAATCGCTGCCGGTGCAGTCTCCGCGCTCCGAGAGAGCTGTGTCCTCCACTCGCAGCGTGGGTGTGAAACAGAGGAAGATTGTTGAAACAGAAAACCAATGATCCCTGTTTTAATTCATGAATGTGGTGATGAAGCTATAGTCAAGGGAAAATATCGATGCTAACGT